AACCTTGCCCCCTAATTCGATACACACTTGGGTTCAATTAAAAGGTAGTTTTCATGAACATTTCTTCAGAGAAGAAATGAAAGTTAGTATAGTTGATCTAATGAACATTAAGAGACAAAGCCATGAAACTTTAGATGACTATTTAAATAGGTTCAGGCAATTAAAATCTCGATGTTATACTAATATACCTGAACATGAATTAGTTAGGATTGCAGCAACAGGGTTAGATTTCTCGATACGTAAAAAACTAGTAAATGAACAGTTGAGAGATATGGCCCAGTTAGTCGAAAAGGTAAGAAGGATCGAACAAATCAAGTTAGAAAAGGAAAGATTAAAAAAGTTTGATAGGTTTGTTCGGAAAGAGAAGGTAGCCTACTTAGAAAATACTGAGATGAGTGAGGATAATAATTATGAGATTTCGAGTGAGGATTTTGAAGTTAACTTAGCAGAGTTGCGTCCTATGCCTACTTATCAATGCCAAATGTTAAAACCAGGAGACAATATTGTTGAGCTTAGGAGAGCTTGAAGCTTTAAGAGTTTTGATGATCACGACATGCAACAACTTGGAGAACACAAAAACAAAGTTAAAGAATCATGAACGACTATATCAGCTTCAACGGACATATGCAATGAGCAGATTCCATGAGCCTACAAATATACAATAACCACAAACCTAAAGAGGGGAGCAAGAAGCAATGAAAGAATGACTATAGGCATTGCCCTGGGCTTTTAGCATTAAGCACCAAAAGTAATATCAAGCCCAAAAGAAAAACAAAGAAATTAGAGATCGATTCTTCATAGTCAAATCTACAATGTATCATTATATTCGTCTCTGTAGTCTAAGGTGTTCCAAGTGTATCTTAGGAAAGAGACCTTAGTGAGTGTTGTAAACTTATCTATCCTCTTTGTAAAGATTAAACCACACACTCAGAATCTCTGTAGGACTAAGGTAGTGAAACCTTAGAGAGTGTAGATCATATATGTATCCTCTCTGTGAGAGTAAACCAAACACTCAACACCAAAGCACAAATCTATCATGTGTAAAGCCTAGAGAGGCTAGGGAAAGAA